TCAGGGCTGCCTGTGACCCGAGGCCTGCTTCCTCCAAGCCCCGGACCTGGCTTTGCTCAAGAAGGCTTTGCTCCCTGTGTCCCTGTGATTAGAAGAAAATGCAGGCCCTTACCGCTGGGCCTGGTGGGGAAGCGGCAGCTGCTGCCTGAGCCGTTTGCCCTGCACCCCCGGCCCCAGGCTGAGCCTGTGCCCTGGCTGTGGTGTGCGGTGTCCTTCCTGCCTGGCCTGTTAAAGCCCCACTCCTAGTCTGGGGTGCAGCTCAGTGGTAGAGTGCTTGCATGAGGTCCGGGTTCAACCCCCAGTACTGCACCCCTAAAAAAACAAAACCCCAAACCCCCAACCAACCAAAAATCCACTGGGCATCATCTTGAGGCACTGCCCCTGCCCACAGGCAAGCTCACAGAGAGTGACCCTCAGGCAGCGGACAGTGGCTCTCCCATCCCCTGGGGCTGCTGTTACTCCACCATCATCCTTTTGTGCTCTGGTCGCAGTCCTTAGTGGCTTCTGCTTTGTCCGTAGCTGCAGGGGACAGTTCAATGCATGTGGCCTCCTACCCCAACCTCGAGTGCACCCTGACTCCCTGCCTGGGGCAGAGCATCCTGCAGGTGTAGGGAGAAGACGTGAACCCCACCACTGGGAAGGGAGTCCACGGGAAATGCCCTCTCTGGCCCGGGAAGAGACCTTGGCTGTCTCTCTCCCTTTCCAGTCTTGCTCTCCCTGCCTCCTCGTGCCCGCTTCCTGGGGTCACCTCCGAGACAAACCCCTGTGCCCACGTCCTCGTCTTATGCTCTGGGTCAGGGGAATAGGAAGGAGGCCGGTGTGAACAGCCCATCCGGGACCTGCTGTGGGTTGAGGAGGCCAGGCACTGTCCTCTCCTCCACCCCGAGTGGGCACAGTGCACAGACCAGCTGGGCCACCTGCCTGATGCCAGGCCTGTCCACAAGCACAGGGTCAACAAACTCTGTTGACCTGGGAGTTGAGCACCAGCTAGGGAGTCACATTGCTCTGGTCAGGAGCAGTTGGCCACCCCAGGTGGAATGTCCCAAGGCAGGGGACTCTAAGGAGGGCGGCCTCTGGTGAGAGGCCCCAAGGCAGGGGACCCAAGGTGGGAGATCCCAAGGCGTATCCCAGGCACGTCCCTTCCCAGGTGATAGGCACCGACAGCAGTGTGGGTGGAAATGGGGGGCCACCCTCAAAATCAAAACCAGAAGCTATTCCTGATGGACAGACAGGCCAAGCCACGCAGTAGCTCCCCTCCCTGGAGAAATGTGGTCCAGCCCCCCACCCCTTGGGGGAGATGTCTTCTGGAGTCTGCAGGGGAGGGCACAGGATGACGGTTGAACGGGGTTGGGGGAGCGATCCCTGTCCAACCTAGGGCCCAAGTGCACATGTCCTTAATCTTGGCCTTGCAGCCCTGGCTCAGCCCCCTCCCTAGACGACTGTCCTCACCTCCTCCTTCCTCCCTCCTCCCCAAGCCCAGATCCGCCTGGAGGCCTGAGTGGCGACCATATGTTTAAGATGCTTGATTGCCAGGGCTGTGAGCCAGAAGGGCTGTTTGGGAAAGGTACTCAGTCAAAGCAGTGTTTGTATACACAAGGGCCGGTGTCTTTTTATTATGCATAATTATACGCTTCTTAATGTACCAGCTTCGAGAGCCATTTTTCCTTCCTCGGGTGAAGTCACCGCATGGGCGGGGTGCGTCTGTCTGCGGCGGCCGGGGGCTGGGAGGGTGGCTCTGCAGTCCTTGACTCCAGCGCTGAGCCCCAGCACCCGGTCGGTCTGATAGATGGAGGAGCGAGGGAGCGCTCTTGAAGTGAGGAGCTAATTCTTCCGAGGGGACCCGGGAGCCGGCATGCAGCAGTGCCGACGTGGAGATGTTGCAGATCATAACGCGGAGACCCGTCTCTCTCCCTCCCTCTCTCTCTTTGTCTTTAAGCTGCAGCCTCAAATTCGCTCTCCTACCTTCATCGTGGAAGGAAAATGTGAGCTTTCCCCTGCAACGAGTTGGCATCCAGTGACTCGCCTCTTCTCTCTAAATTTCACAAACTTGACTCACCAATTCTGGTTTGATGATTTCTAAGCTCCCCCTCCCCCCAAGGTTTTAATTATGGCAATTAGGAGGATCACGGTAATAAAAGCCCTTTGTATTCTATAGCATAGATGAGGAGGCCTCCAGGGTTGGGTGACCTGGCTTCTCATTCAGACTCTGCCAGGTATTAGCTGTGTGACCGTGAGCTTGTTACTTAACCTTTCTGATTTGCCTTTCTGGACAAAATGGGAATGATATTAGTTCCTAGACCATGTACCCCTGAAACAGCACTTGTAAGTGCTTTTTTTATCAATTATACTTGCTCCTGTGTTGCGATTCTTTTCTTGTTTGTTTTGTTTTATGTGGTGCTGGGGGTTGAACCCAGGGCCTTGAACATGCTAGGCAAGTGCTCTACCACTGAGCCCCCTGTGGTTACAATTCTAATAGAGCACGGGTTCTATGCCGGCAGGAAAGTGTGGGGTCCCACGTGCGGCTTCCTCCCCGATGCCCCTGGCTCTGCCTGAATGCAGCTGACACCCTCCGTGTGGTTGCTGAAAGGAGGGTTGGATGGGTTTGGAATCGGGGTTGGTCTTTCATGGGCCAACCATGAGTCCCGGCAATTATTGGACCTCTGAGCTTCATCAGCTGTAAAGTGCAGAAGTAATAGACTCGCCCCACAGGCCTGGGACGATGAGATTAATTGAGAGACACTGAGATCAAGACATAAAATGTTTAGTGGGTTCTCTATGTCAGTTCATGTCCGGTTTTATTAGTGGCTTATAGTCCAGTGCATAGTGGCTTACTGTTGGAAAGTGTGTGTGTGTTTGTGTGTGTGTGTCCGACCACCTGCACGGTCCTCAGATCAACCTGGCAGACCTCTAACCAGTCCCCGTGTCACAGGTAGAAGAGCACGTTTTGGAAGGGTCCAGGATTTCCTGGTGCCTGCAGGGCAGCCCATGCAGAGGTCAGAGCGAATGGCTTTGTGTCCCTTGAAGACCTTGTCACTTTCATTTCAGTGCTGGTGTATGATCCTTTGAGAGTGTCTCAGACTTTTAAGTGTTGGAGAGGCTGGGGCTCTGGGCTATGTGGATCCTCTCTCCCCACCTTCCTCAAGTCTGCTGCCATCAGGAAGCCCTCCTGGACCACAGGGGTAAGAGTGCAAGGGCACTATCAGCACACTCATGAGAAGCCCCCTTTTTTCTGGGTGCTCTACCCCAGTGATGGAGGGACCTGGGGACACGGAGGAGACACGTTCAGATTACCAGGTCTGCATGACCTGGAGTGAACCTGGGAGAAGCAGGCAGCCTGCTGCGTTGGGCCACTGGGGTCAGGAGGTAGCCAGGGGTCTTTGGTGTGCCCATGTCCTGCATTGATGATTTGGGGGTCTTGTGACCTATATTGACCCTGTCTGAACCTCCAAAATGTCTTCAGTGTTTTTTTCTCCCTGAAACATGTCAGATCTTTTGATCCCTCCGACGGGTACTTGGCAAGGTGTGCGGGGCAGCTGCAGCCCCAGGGCTCCTCTCCACAGTGCCAGGGACAGGTCAGGTTCTGGGCTCCCCTTGTCCCCGGCTGGAGGTGGGGGATGCAGCCCGAGGATTGCTGGCGAGGAAGCGTCCTTGGTAATGAGAGATTTACCAGCTGAAGGGCAACCCCCCCACTCCTCGATGCGATGAGTCCCTGAGCACTTTTGTCACCAGCGTTTGTTCAGGGACGTCGGGGGGGGGGATCACTTCTCTCTCCTTCCCACCACCAGCTCCCGCCACCCCTGAGATTTAGAGCCAGGAGGGCATCTTCCTCTCGCGTCCATTACTTTAGCGCCTGAGTTACGGAGCCATTACCCCTTGAAGAGTTCTTCAGCTGACCTCGGACAACAAGACCCGAGGCCCTGCAGAGAGCGCTTCCCTCTCCTCCCGGGAAGCGCGCACCGGACCCCATCCATGTAGCTCCTTTATGGGCTGGTGCTGCCTCTCACAGCTCCACACCCTCTCTGAGATTTATTTTCCCAATCTGTAAAGTAAGATGGTTGAAACAGACGCTTTGGGAAGTCCCTCGAGTGTGTGATCTCTTTCCTGCACCCCCTACCCCACCAGAATAGAGTTAAGAGGCTGTGTCACCTCCCCAGGACTGTGTGCCTCCTCGGACTCACCTCCCCAAACCTTGACCCCTCTCCTCAGCCAGGCCAGCAGCTCACAGGAGAGGATCAGGAGGTGGGGGACTGGCACAGTCACCAGCAGGACATGGGCCGAGAGCTCCGTGAACAAAGTGCGTTAGGAATCGATTCCCCTGCTGTTTACCCTGCACCCTCTCTGGCGCGGGAGGAAGCCTTTGCATCAGGGTTAGTCCTGGAGTGACACTGCAATTTGCGACATGTTTATTATTATGGGCGTCCAACACCCTTCACAACACCTCAGTCCCTTACTACCTTGCCCTGGCTTTTATTTGGAGCCTCCCTCTCTCTCCCTCTCTCTCTCTCCAGACAACCAGAGTCTCGGAGGCAGATTGGTTCTTCTTGCAGGTTCGGGACTCTGGGGAGGTCTCAGGAGTGGCCACAGTGGCCTTGGCCAGCAGTCTGGTCTCTGGGGAAAGCTGCCTCTGTCTCCCCACTCTCACTCTCCTGGGTGGTGGACGGGGAGCAGCAGCAGGCCTTCTAAGGGCCCGGGAAGGGACACCTGCTTAGGCATTGGTCTCTGAGTAATAAAGCCAGCCAGGGTGGGGGCAGGGAGAACAGGTGACTCTGATAAGGACGAAACAAAATGAATGTGTTTTCAAAATCCCCCAGGCCCCCCGCGGGATTCGGCGGATGGTAATCCTGTTTTGTAAATAGATGGAGCTGCTTTTTCTTCTTAATTTCTTTTATTTTTTTAGAACCCATTGGCGGTGCCAAGCTTGCTGTTCACTCTCTCTATGTGCAACCAGCAAAGTAGGAAGGAGACCTGCTCCTTTGACCCAGTGTGAGGATGAGGTCAGTGGGGCCCAATGCACTGGTCCTGGTCCCAGAGGCCTGTTTGGACAGGTCAGTGCCCATCCAGTGGTCAGTTTGTGCAATGCAGAATTAGACTCCACAGGCCGACTGGGATGGGGTGAAGCAGGTAGGTAGCTCCTCTGAATCCCTGCTGAGTCCTGGCTTTTCTGTCCAAGAGTCTGCGAAAGTGGTTTTGGGCAGAGGCCACCCATAATCATTGCATCTACAGCAACACAATGATCCCCAGTGTGTGGGGGGGGTGGCCATTACCTGGAATCAGCAGAGCTACTGGATAACTTCAGCAGGGTGGAGCCTGACCAGATGTGGGTCTCAGACAGCTCTGGTGGCCACCTAGAGATGGGGTGGGTGGCCAAGATGCAGAAAGAAAGACCCCAACGTGCCCCTGCAGGGACCCAGCTCAGAGTGATGGTGGTGCCGTGGCTTGGGTGCTGGTGGGGCGATAGGGCATCCACCAGGGAGGCGAGGCAGGGAGGAGCCAGTCTGACGAGTGGAACTCAAGATGTTCCGAGTTTGAGGTCCTTGGAACTGAGCTGAGCGGTCCAGGCCAAGCCTGTCCTTGTGAGCACACAATCGTGGTGATTTGGGTGACATATTTATTAAGGTCCGTTGAACAGCAGGTTTGAAGTGGTGAACTTGAACTTGAGCTCGATGAGGTTGGTTTTCTGAAAAGGGAGTCAGGCAGCACAGCAGCAGAGGCGTCAGTTGACCCCTGCCAAGCAGTTCCAGGGACCAGGTGGAGCAGAAGCGTTGTCACCACTCATGGGGGCAGGTGGGCTGGGGCTCCTGGTCTGATGCTTAGGGCGTTCCTAGGCCTTTGCAGCCTCCTGTCCTTCACAGATGGAGCTTGGGAAAGCAAGGCCAAAAAGTCACTGATGGTGAGGGACACCAGCTGGCTGGAGTGTGGGGACCATCAGGACTAATGGTGAGGCACAATGAACTGTTATAGTTGGATGTTAAGTGTCTCCCTCAGGCCATGTGTGACAGGCATGGTCAGGGTGGTGATATTGGAGGTGGTGGGTCTTTAAAAGGTGGGGCCTGGCGGGAGGTCTTTAGGTGGTTGGGGGGAGCTGGCCCCTCCTCCTTCTCCCTTTGCCCTCTGCCCACCACACTTCCTGTCTCCCTGTGCTTCCCTGCCACAGGCCTGAAGTGGAGGGGCCCCTCGGTCTGGCCCTGAGACCTCTGAAACTGTGAGCCCACGGAGCCCTTTCCTCTCAGCAGCTCCCCTCTCAGGTATCACTTCCATTCTGCAAAACTCCAGAATCCTCTCTGAGCTTGTTTGACGACCATGAAATCAGTGTGATCAGCAGCTGGAATGAGGGAATCCAGCGTTAGGACTCCAGTGGGACCCCAGGGACCCCAGGGCTGTGGGGACAGCCGGCCACGTCTGGTCTGTGAGCTTTCCTCGTGGCCTGACCTGGGTGAGGAGGGCCCCAGGGGAGGGAGCCTAATTCCCTGAAGGTCATTTCTTTGAGATCCAATTCACCCCGGGGCCAGTATTTGAAATGGGCCATTGGCTGGATTTACTCGCTGCCTTGACTCTTCAGTTTTGTTGATGGCTTCCGCTTTGTCTTCATGAAGGCATTCTAAGAAATTGACCTACAGCCCAGGAGAGGTTCCTGAGGTTGTGGGGCCCAGAGGCTCACTCAGGCCATTTCACCGAATCCAGTTTATGGGTAAACAAGGCAATGGGATGGCAAGACCTCCCGGGGACCTGGAGCCACAGACTGTCAGGCCTCGTGGAAAGCACAGGAAGAGGGACACAGAGGGGACGTGGGGCTGGGGTGAGGACGTGGGGCTGGGGTGGGGATGTTCCAGGGGCTGGCTCTGGGAGCCAGGAGTCCTACCACGCCGTGTTCAGGAAGTTTCAGTCCCCACAGGCAAATAGGGACACACATCTACGCAGCTCAACAAGACAGTGTTGGGGCTGGGTGCCACAAGGACAGGGGCCCCACCTCCCCTGCCTGGCACCCAGCAGGTGCTTCAGGGTGTTGGAGAAGGGGTGCAAAGCAGGGGGCCGGGCCTCCATGGCAGAGGGGGTCTGTGCCTGGACCTGGGAACTATTTGCATGTCACAGGGAGGGAGGTGGCCGGCACTGGCCTGGGATTCATGCCCAGCGATGTAGCCTCAGGGGCTGGGCCTCAGCGTGCTTTCCTCTCCTCCATTTCCTTCTCCCTCCACAATGGCCCCCCTGAGAAAAGAAGGGGCAGCCCCCTGGGGAGCACAAGCCTCCAGAGCAGAGAGGGAGTGGCACGGGCGTGAGCGGGGGTGAGGGGGCACACTGTCAGCTCAGTGTGCCTTATTGGTGCCCTCCCTGCGCCAGGCCCCCCAGTAAGCATTGTGCAAAGGAAGTACTGCTATTCTCCCCATTTTACAGATAAGAGAATGAAGCCCAGAGTGGGTATGTGACTTGCCCAAAGCCCCACAGCTAAGTAGGGGAGTTGGGTTTGAACATGTTCGTCTAACCCCAAGTTCCTGCCCAACACTTGCTATTTTATTCTCTGGCTCAGAGACAAGGTGTTTCTCTTGATCTTTTGCACAATGGGACCCGGGATAGGAGAAAGGGAGATGTTAACTGCTAGCGTCCCCCTTAAAACTCATTAGGGAAGTACATAGCCATGTCCTCTCTCTCCCTAAATGAACGGTCCCCTGATAACAGGTGCCACTGGGTTGCTTGGGTGTGGAAGCAGCTCCTGCTAACTGCTAGGTACACCTCTTGTCTGCCCCCCTCCTTCCCTCCCTGAGCCTGGCCCTCTTAGGGTTCAGCCTTATTCTTCTGAACATAAAACTGGCCGCCTCCTCTCCCGGGCCTCCCCAGCTCTCCAAGGTTAGTTGATTGGGAGCTGCGAGGCCACGTGGGTTCCAGGGCAACATGCCCACATTCTCCAGCAAAACTTCTTTGCCTCCCAGGCAGGGGATAGGACAGATAGCCACAGTCACCATGGAGGCTCCCGGTCCTCCCTGATAATCCCAAGACCCCCCCCACCCCGCCTTGTTGCCTGGGCACACCCAGGGTGCTTCCGGAAAGTGTCAAGAGTGTGCCCCACCCCACACAGGTCCCCACCCCCCGGGACATCAGGAGATGGCTTACCCCTTGGGAAGCTGGCACCTCTGAGCCTGGTGCCCTCCCCACCAGTCTCCTTGCAACTGGAAATCATTTCCGGTGGGAGCAGCCGCCGGCCTTGGAGTTGTTGCCTCGTTGCCTCGTGACTGGGACAAAGGGGAATGTAGGACATGGGCGCTCCTGGCTGCTGCTCTTCAACTGAGAACCGCGCCAGCCAGAAAACTCTCGCTAATGGCCTTCTCCGAACCTCCTTCTAGATAATGATAAATAATGTGTATTTTTAGTTTGGAATTGAATTTCATCTCTCCATTGCTGGTGTGTTTCAGGTGTTTTCCCCCCCCTCCCTTGGGGTCTGAAAACTAGACATTTGTCCTCTTACCGTGTGCATTTATTCTCTGCCAGAAATTGACATATGGACTCATTAATTCCTACCCACTTGTTCTCACCCCCATAACACTCACCTGGCTGGTCCAGGAAGGGAGCTATATCCAAGAAGGCTTTTCTGAAGGCATCCTTCAGACAGAGGGACAGATGTATCCTGGGGAGAGGGGCTGGCCTCTATCAGTGATCTTGAGCATGGCCCTGTTTGTAACTCACCAGGTCTAGGACAGACCACAGGACACTGCCTTTCCAACAGACTCCCAGGTGATATTGATGCAGCTGGTCTAGGGACCACACTTTGAGAACCATTGGCTTAAATCTTTCCTAATCAAAGTGTGGTCCGAGAACGAGCACCAGCATCACTGGGCAGCTGTCAGAGACAAACACTCTGGGGTCCCACCATGGTGGAATCAAAATTTGCATTTCAACACGGTCCCCAGCTGATCTGAATGTATACGACAGTTTGAGAAACACTGGCTTAAATCATTTCTCAAAGCCCCTTGGCCACCCTATGGCCTCTACCTTGGCTGTAGAATCACTTGGGAGGCTTTGAAAATATCCATAAGGATGCGCCCCAGGCCAATCAAGGCAGAACACCTGGAGTGGGCCCAAGTGACAGCATGTGCAGAATCACGGTTCTCAGCTGAGGGATGGGTCAGAAGCGCGTGCCAGGCGGGGGGTGGCCAGGAGGGGGATCTGGAAAGCAGGCGCTCCTGGGAAGCCATGCTGGGGGAGCTGAGACAGTGCGAGGCTGTGGGAGGAAGAAGTCTTCTCTCTTCCCTCTCCTCTGGCCTCTCCTGGGCTGGTCTGAGAGGCCCATCACTGTGCCTAGGGCTGGGGCGGAGGCTGACCATCCGGGGAAGGGCCTTTCCTCTCCTCTCAGTTCTGACCACCAGGCTGGGGGCCATGCAGAGCAGCCCAGAGAGCTGGGTGGGTGAAAAGACCTCAGTGCAGGGCCTGGATCCTGGGCAGGGCAGCGCTGGGGCCCACAGATGGCCAGGCAGGCCCAGGCTCTCTTCTGTCCAGCGTGAGCGGGAGGTGCTCTAGTGGGAAAGACACGAGCAGTGCCTCAGGAGCCTGTGCAGCTGCTTCCTGGGTGGGACCCGAGGGAAAGAAAAGGTTCAGGAAGCAAGGAGAGGGATCCTGGAGCATCATGTGTGGAAGGCAGCCCCTGGGCAGGGGCGGGAGAGGGCGAGGAGGACGAGAACTTGGAAGCTGAGCAGCCGGAGGGCGCTGTGGCTGTGCACCCCTTCACCATTCCTGGGCTCAGGCCTGCTGTCCTTTCTTGCTGTTTTGCATGGAGGAATCCACTCTGTGGGGGAGGAGAGGAGTGGCTTCCCGGCCCACCGGGTGCCACAGAGCTCTGGGGCAGAGGAGGTCTCACCGGCTCAATGTGCAAGGGACACGTGCAGCCTGGGATGGAGACGGGGATTCAGGCCACTAGTTGTGCCACAGATCTGGTCTTCGGGAAAGTGACAAAGTCCTGGCTCCCGGCTCCCACCTGCCTGGATGGAAGGCAGCCAGTGGGGTGTGTGAATAGCAGAAGACGTTCAAGGTCAAAGGATGCTAAACTAATGCAGCCTGGAGCATCTCCCAAAGAGTCTGCCAAGTCACCGGGAGCTGCAGAGGAAGGGAGGCCGACATTAGCAGCCCTAACTGCATCTCAGGGCCTGATGCTCCCGTGCAGAGGCCGCCAGCCCTCTGTCCCCTGCTCATCTTCCCCCTCGGCCCTCCCTTCTCCCCTGTCAGGCAAGCTGGGGTGGAGTAGGGGCTCCCAACTGTCCCTTTGGAACAGTGAAGATAAAGGGAGAATCTTCCCAACCTCTTTGTCCCAGGGCCTTGGGTCTGACCCTGATGACGGCTTTGGGAGAAGAACTTGGCAGCCCCAGACTCCCCAGAACCTTGGCCCATGGATGTCCCCAGCAGCAGTGAAGGACGAGCGCATAGGACGGAGCTTGTGAGTCCCAGGGTGTTTACATGGGGCAGAAGGGGCCCCCTCGCCTGTTTGGAATTAAAGCTCTTTTCCTGTGCTTCAGGCATGGAGCCGAGGGGCACTCCCCAGCTCCCACCCCGAGCCACCATTTCCCTGGAGACAGACCGATTCTGGAGAAGCTGCCGCAGACTGGGGTGGGTTTAGTGAGCCGGTCCTGCTAAGAGCACCCGCCTCTGCCGGTGACCTCCAGTGAACCCCCGCTCACGAGGACACCTCATCTGTGTCTGGGCCTCAGCAGCCTGGCACCAGCTCCTCCCCCGGCCAGGCACCCAGGGAAGCCATGCTGGTTTCCAGGGACCTCGACTCCGTGCCGCCCCAGTGACACAGAGAGTTCTGCCCTCTGTGCTGTCAACTTCCCATCCAGAGCCGCCCGACGTCACCTGCTTCAGCCTGGCTGGATTGGAGGCAGGGTTGGGGGGGGCCGAGCCTGTGCTGTTTCCTCTTCTTTGTTGGTATGGAATGGGGTGAGGGTCCATGCCCTGGCTCCTGCCACCCCTTCCTGCAGCTCCCGCCTGCTCTCTTCTGGCTGCCACCAAAGCCCCAGGCTCCTGGGTGGTCAACTTGTTGGGAGTCGGTATCTTAAGAGGCATTTCACTGGGGGCCGATGTGCTGGGCTCATTACCCTTAAATACCAGGGGCTGCTCTGGGAAGAGAAGAGGGTGTTTTGGAGGAAGCTGAGCTGACGTCTTCCCAGGGGAGACGAGGACACAGTGCGTGTGCCTCTACAGTGCAATCTGCAGGGGCCCTACTGTCCGCTGGCACTGGGCCAGCTCTGGGTTACAGAGTGCTTGCCAC